GAGCTCCATTGAGGTTTTCTAAATCGACCGATACTTAATTTCATGTTATATGTGCTGACGCTTCCTGTTCTAAATGCTAAACCTAGTCCTCAGAGCACACATGTGAGTCAGAACTGTTATTACTGCCCTGGAATCCTGTGGCATTCAATTACTTTCCCAAGAGCACAGAGCTAGTTGGGGGGTCGGGGGGGTGGAACCAATAGTCTAGTCTAGGGATTGTGACCCCAAGCTTCCTGGTCTTCAGTGCAATGTCAGACTGTTGGAGCAAACATTAGGTTCCAAGTCTGCTGTTGATGCAGAATTGTGAAAGCAGGTCTCTGTTCCTTCCCAATTACCAGCTTCTTCAATATTTTCAAAATTGAAAACATTGAGTGATACAGATGCTCAGAGTTGGAAAGAGAAAAGTTGATTGGAAAATAAAAGAGAAAGGGAAAGGGTGCACCAGATGAGACTCAGTCTGGCGTGGGGAAGAGGTCAACAAGCCGCAGAGATGCCTCCAGACCCTGAGCCAGGCCAGAGGGGGGCGAGTGAGCCCACCACACACCCAAACAGAGCCCTGGCAGCTGGAAACCTCCATGACACAATTGCTGCCGTCCTCATGGCCAGACCCCATAGGCTCAGGATGAGACTCATCCAGGAATGAATCTGTCAAAAAATTCAGATATGCAGGTTTTGTGACGGAAATCTCCAGTCTCTCAAGGAGTCGAGGATGGGCGACCTCCCCCCATCTCCCTGTTCTTCCGGGGGGCCTGGCAGTCACACCCACGAACTGCCTCCGGGCACCATATAAGCTCATTAACTGGCCGTGATCCAGAGACTCATAAATAAATCTTAAGTATTTTGACTTTCAGTTACTGAACTTTGAGCTGTATTGATTTTACCATTCTCTTGGCAAAACAGGTTCTTGGCCCCAGGCACAGTAGACATTCTGTCCTTTTGCAAATTATGAGGGAGCTTTATGTAGCCAGTGTCCAACCCTGTATTGTCTAAGCCTGGATTACAGAAACAAAGTGTAATAAATAAGATACACACTTTTCTATTTTCTGTGAAATTCACCCCCTATCGTCTTTGAGAATCTAAGCTCGTCATAGCTTAGGCCATGCCTCAGAATTTTCTACTATTTGAAACTTGCCAGGGCTTTTGATGGCCACTTTGGAGGGAAACAGGATCGATTAACAATATCGGATGTGTAAGATGCTGCTGTGTGTCCTTTGGGGAGAACGAAGGTACTTTTGGAGAAATGAAGCATCTATACAGTGGTAAAATCAAAGCAGTTCATAAAAAGCAATGCAAGGAAAAGACAACCACCATTGTTAGGACTTTGAAAAGATTGGTTTTATAGTTGAAAGACGATAAGATTTCAGAGACTGAGTGGGATTTGACTGAAGAGCAGACAGGCTTTTATTTCTTTCCAATTAATTGGAAATGTTTATTTTGAGTTGTAATTCTGAACAGTGTCTTTCAAGACAAAGTGATACATAAGAATGTGGGTATTATTTCCCCTTTAACAAAGCTAAAATTAAATGTTAACATAGGCTAAATTTTCTTCTTTTATTCTTATTTTTAAAAAATTATTTTTACAGTTACAAAACTTTCAGTCGTACAATGATCGAACACCCATCCCTCCACCAGTGCACATTCTCCACCACCAATGTCCCAGTTCCCCCCCCCCCCCTTTCTAACCCTCCCTCTGCCTCTCTGGCAATTTCTCCCATGCCCTTTCTCTTCTTTGGGACATTATGGTTTGCAATACAGACACCGAGAGGTTATCACGTTTGGTCCTTTTATCTACTTTCAGCACACATCTCCCATCTCGAGCGATCCCTCCAACCATCCTTGTATTACTGATCCTTTCTCTCTCCCAGCTGCCTTCTCCCCCAGCTCATGAAGCAGGTTTCCAACTACGGGGCAATATTCCTGGCCCTTGTCTCTACTGTCCTTGGGTGTCAGTCTCATATTATTTTATTTTATATTCCACACAGGGTTGGAGCGGTAGCACAGCAGTAGGGCATTTGCCTTGCACGCAGCCAACATGGCTGACCCGAGTTCAATTCCTCCGCCCCTCTCGGAGAGCCTGGCAAGCTACCGAGAGTATCTCGCCCGCACGGCAGAGCCTGGCAAGCTCCCCGTGACGTATTCGATATGCCAGACACAGTAACAACAAAGTCTTCAATGGAGACGTTACTGGGCCCGCTCGAGCAAATCGATGAACAACGGGAGTACAAGAAAAAGGAAATATTCCACAAATGAGTGCAGTCATTCTATGTCTGTCCCTCTCCTTCTGACTCATTTCACTCAGCATGATACTCTTCACGACCATCCACTTATAAGCAAATTTCATGACTTCATCTTTCCTAACAGTTGCATAGTTTTCCACTGTGTAGATGTACCACGGATTCTTTAACCAGTCGACTATTCTCGGGCACTCGGGTTATTTCCAGATTCTGGCTATTGTAAACAGTGCTACAATGAACATACAGGTGCAGATGTCATTTCTACTGTGTTTTTTTGCAGGCAGGCTTTTTGAGAATAGGCTGGGCAGAGAGCAGGAGGAAGAATTTAATCAAGACCAGTGAAAAGAAAGAGGGAAAGAGGGGGCTGGAGCGATAGCACAGTGTGGAGGGTATTTGCCTTGCACGCAGCTGACCCCAATTCTATTCCCAGCATCTCATAGGGTCCCCCAAGCACCGCCAGGAGTAATTCCTGAGTGCATGAGCCAAGAGTAACCTGTGCATCGCTGGGTGTGACCCAAAAAGAAAAAGAAAGAAAGAAAGAAAGAAAGAAAGAAAGAAAGAAAGAAAGAAAGAAAGAAAGAAAGAGGGAGGGAGGGAGGAAGGAAAGAAAGAAAGAAGGAAAGAAAGAAAGAAAGAAAGAAAGAAAGAAAGAAAGAAAGAAAGAAAGAAAGAAAGAAAGAAAGAAAGAAAGAGGAAAGAGGCCTTTGTGGCACATATGACTAGGGGTGAAAACTCCAGTAGGGACGGAATGAGGGATAAACTCAGGTGATGTCTAAAGAAGAACAGAGCAAGAGCCAAATATTCAGGCCACTCCTATGAATAATGAAGTTGGAAAAGTTGGTTCAAATATGGTTATTTATGATATAGTTTGCCATTGGGAGTTTGGACTTTTTTTAGTTACCTGTGTTTATATTTTCTCTAATAGCTTTCTTTATGATGATGATGATGATGATAATGATTTTATGGCTTGCCTAAAGAAGTCTACTATCCTTACCCCATCTATATTCATTCTAGATTCTCTTAATAGCAGTATTTATTTCATTAACTACTTATTTTACATGTTGAAACTTTTATTTATCTAAGTTCATATAGATCTTATTTTTGCAATTGGCATAAGATAAATATCCACTTCCCTCTTTTTCACCAAACGAATAGTTTGCCAGTCCCTCATTTTAACAATTTCATTCCTCTAATCATGAAGCCACCTCTCCTGTCATATATTAAACCTCATTTACATTTGGATCTATTTCTAGATATTGTTACACACATCTGCATAAGGCCTATTTCAATACCTACTGACCTGATTATAGTAGCTTCACAGGGTTTTCTGATATCTAGTAAATCAGATTTCACAAATTACTTTCGACATAGCTATCAAAATGCTTAAGTAACTACAGGAATAGCCCATTTTCTAGACATCCTTCAAGAGTGGGCAGGCTTTTTGAGAATAAACGGGACAGAGATAAGGAGGAAGAGTTTAATCAAGACAGGCGAAAGACAGGATGCTAGCACTCATTAGAATAGAATGCCGTGTTTTAAAGGGGGATGCCATGACCAACCTTGGCCCCAGAGTATAGGGAGAAGAGAAGAAAGGGTGGAGGGGAGAGAAAGAAGAGACAGATGAGAAGCAGTGGGGACCAGATGAGGGGAGCCAGGTAGGAAGGTGGGAAGGAATCACAGAACCAAATATCCAAACCCCAGCGTCGACTGCACTGAAATCAAGAGTCCCGAACTTTGCAACCAGATTGAGAAAGGGGCCCATCAGGAGGGCCGGCTGGAAGGGGGCGGGGGGATTCAGGAGGAGACCTGGATATATCAGAGGAAGGAAGCTGCCTCAGGTGGTGGGGTCAGTGCTGCAGTGTCGTGTGTCTAAAACTCAACTATGAAAAACTTTGTAAGTCACAGTGCGTTATTTGTTTTTAATGGGCTGGAGCGGTAGCACAGCAGGTAGGGCATTTGCACGCGGCCGACCCGGCCAACCCGGGTTCGATTCCTCCGTTCCTCTCAAAGAGCCCAGCAAGCTACCAAAAGTATCTCTCTCTCCTGCATGGCAAAACCTGGCAAGCTCCCCGTGGCGTATTCGATATGCCAAACACAGTAACAACAAGTCTCACAGTGGAGACGTTACTGGTGCTCCCTCGAGCAAATCGATGAACCATGGGAGGACAGTGACAGTGCAGAGAAAAAAAAAAGAATAGGTGACAAGAAAGAGAGAAGGGCCACAAATGCGTGAAGAGGTGCAAGCAGAAACCAAGCTCTGAAAATGATATTTGGGCCATTGAAATAGTTTTCCAACCCCTTCCCAAGGCGAATTTTCATATTGACATATATCGGAAGAGGAACCAGAGCCATAGCACAGCGGGGAGGGCGTTTGCCTTGCACAGGGCCAACCCGGGTTCAATCCTGGGCATCCCATATGGTCCCCTGAGCATCGCCAGGAGTAATTCCTGAGTGCAGAACCAGGAGTAACCCCTGAGCATCACTGGGTAGGACCCAAAGAGCCAAAAAAAAAAAAAATTCCAGCAGACATATATTGGAAGGAAAAGTTTAGTGCGCTTCTAAGATCTGATCCCAATGCTGGTGGCGTTGCCATCCGGTTTAGCCCTCAGGGCTGTGCCATACTCATACTCATGGTCGTTTCCTTAATTTACAGATTGAAACTCCCTCGCTGTCATCCCTGACTTCGTCTTCTTCTGTCTGAGCAACGGTTTTCCCCCCGCGCACAGCCCAAAAGCCAGCTCAGAGCTTCTTCTGGAGGGGAATTCCATGGGGACTGTCCCCGACGCTCTGAGAACAGCTAAAGCATCTCTGATCGCCGCGTCCAGCACAGACGACGTTCTGGGGGCACCGCGGTTCCAGCCCCCCACAGCCCTGGTGCCAGGGCGCGGCGCCAATGGCCTTCCCGGCGCTCCTGCAGAGCCCGCGCTCGGCCCGGCGCCGGCTGCGGGGGTCCTGATGCAGGCCTGCGAGCATGAGCATCCCCAGCCGGGCATGTCCTCTGCAGTCCTGCAGGAGTTGGAGAAGGCGTCACCCACGCTCAGCTCGCCCGCCGGGTCCCCCGCGCTCAGCCCCCGCTGCCGCACGTCTCGGACGGACCCTGCACAGCCCCTCGAGCGCATCATGCCAGCCGCCGACCAGCACGCGCCCCGGCCCAGCCCCGGGGAGAGGACCCGCACCCTGGAGGAGCCTGAGGTCGCCCAGGGCGGCGATCAGAGACCCTCAGAGGGAGAGCCACGTGCAGAGCCCCGCTGTCCAGGGATCGACGGCGGGGACAGCGGAAAAGAGCCAGGCCAGTGCGAAGTTCCCGCCAGGGCATCCAACCAGGACATAGCGCAGGAGGTGGAGGCCCTGGCCGGCCACCCTCCTGTCCCCTGTGCGTCAGGGGGAAGCCTCGGGGAGCAGCTGGGGGCCACCTGCGACTCCCAGTCCGCGTCCTGTGACCCCTCGAGCCGGGGACATGGGTGTCCGGCCAGCGCTGAGCCCCCGGCCCTGCCCGCCGACCCTCCCCAGCGCGCTCCCCTCGCTGGCGCATCCTCGAGGCCGCCAGACCCCGCGCCCGAGCCGCCGGGGTCAAGGTTCAAAGAGGCCAGCACGATGACCACCCAGGAGGGCAGTGAGCTCGGGGCCTGGCCCGGCCCGGCGCGGCGGGACGCGGAGGTGCAGGCGGTGGCCAGCGTGGAGAGCCGGGCCGTGTGCACCAGCCCGGGCATCCCCCCGGCCGCGGCCGGGGCAGGTGCCGCCCCCCGCCCCCCAGACCCCCGAGAAGAGCCCCCCGAGGAGCTTCGTGTGGTCTGCCACGGCGCCGGGGACAGTGTCCACGCGCTGGAACTGTGCGACAGTGCGCAGACCGCCGGGGTCTCAGGGGAGCCGCCGCCCCCTGCACAGAAGCAGGGATCCCCCCTGGCTACTCAGGACTCGGGCCAGGAAGACAGGGGGTCGGAGGGAACGGGCCCCCAGCAACTGGCAGGCGGGGGGACTGGGTCCCTGGCATCAAGCTCCCCGGACGGGGCTGCCCAGGGCGCGCAGGGAGCAGCCGGCACGAAGCCGAGCGCCCAGCAGGGGAGTGGGCGCGTGGGGACCAACGCCAAAGGCCACCCCGCAGGCCCCGACTGCGACAGCTCCCAGCCGGGGGTCTCAGCCAGCCCAGGGGACCAGCGTGGACCCCCGGAGCCCGTGGCGAAAGAGAAAACCCCCGGACGGGGGCAGCAGGAGGAGCCGTCGGGGACAGTTGGCACGGTGGGCGCAGCGGGGACGCAGCCCCCGAGCGGTCAGCTGCGGCCGGGAGCCCCCGAGAGCGGGTCAGCGTCCAGCGCCCACCCGTCCCCCGCCGCGGCGGCGCGCCTGAGCCTGCCCGCCGACGGCGCGGGCCCCGCCAGCCCCGGTTCCTCGGGGGAGCGCACCCCGGGGCGCACGGTCCGCGCCAGCCCGCGCCGCGCCAGCCGCGTGAGCGAGTTCCTGCGGGAGCACCGGGCAGGCCTGGCGGGCGACAGGAGGAAGCAGCCCGAGCCCCGGGCGCAGGCCAAGGCGTCCAAGCGCGTGCGGGACGTGGTGTGGGACGAGCAGGGCATGACCTGGGAGGTGTACGGCGCGTCCCTGGACCCCGAGTCCCTGGGCGTCGCCATCCAGAACCACCTGCAGCGCCAGATCCGCGAGCACGAGCGGCTGCGGCAGGCGCACGGCCGCCGCTCGGTGTCCTCGGACACGTCCTCGCAGAAGAAGCTCAAAGGCCGGCAGCACGGCGTCCTCCAGGCGCTTCTGCAAAACCTCCGACGCCCCAACTGCTGCGTGCGCCCCGCGCCCTCCTCCGTGCTGGACTGAGCCCCAAGCCGCGCCCGTCGGGGCTGGGATGCTCCAGCCTCCAACTCCAGGCAACGGCGGGAACCACTAAGGGACCGGGAGGACCAGGGCTCCCTGGATGCCAGCATCCTGTCGCCTTGAAAGGAAGAGCAAGTGCAAAGAGACAAGGGCGCTTTCCTGAAGGCGGATGACCTCAATTAAAAGGAAATAAGATTCCCCGGGTTTGCTTGTTTTTATTTTTTTTTAATATGATGTTGCCTATGAAACTAGCATTATCATGGTCCGTGTGTCATTTTGTGTGACTGCCTCAATTTATCACACTAGTATTTCATTAAAAGTCTCTGCTTTGTAATTTTTTTTTAAAAAAATGGCCAAAACGCTATGAGCAAACTCACCGAAAATTTCTAGTCCTCTCACAATGAACATGCCATTGCCGCACAAAACCGAAATAGCTGGTGAACACTATAATGTAAAAAAAAAGTGTGACACGAACTGGACTCATTCCTAGGTCAGTTGCCATGACAAGCATTTAGATGTATAAAATAACAAATATGAATATTTGTAAGGATCTACAGATAACCGTTTTTATACACCTTGTGACACTGTTAATAAATAAATGTAGAACAGTTAAATTAGGAAAATTAGCTCAGATTTTGAAAATGAATACTGCCCACATAAAACAAATTGGGATGTGAAGATTTCCCGCACTCGGTAAACCCAAGGAAGGGACAGCTCTGTGAATCTGAATCCAGCTAGAGAAAGTCAGATTTCCTCCCCCTGAAGGAAGCAGTGTGGCGGAATTCTTGAAAACGAATCATTCCATTTTTGCCAATAGTAAATTCTAGGTGGTCTCAGTGCCCTCCAGGTCATAGTGAGCTGTGACTGGTCGTTCTGCTAAAGAATTCTAAATAGCCAATCCCTAAGCCCTCTTTTCTCTGTGTTGAAAAGAAGGAATAACAGAAACAATAGGTTTGATTTAGAGTGCTGGAAATGGGTGTGGTGTGTGTTTGGACTTGCTTCAATTGCTGTCCAAGAGAAAACGTAGCCTATTAACTGGAAGGCAGGCATACGTCCTCACAGCTTTTGTGTGTCAAATAAAGTGCATCTAAAAAAGGTGACCCTTTGCACATCTACTGCTCTTCAGCCTTCAGACCCAGTGGAAGAAGAGGTGTTTTCAAAAACACAGCTTGAGCTCCGGGTGGAGGGCAGCCTGAGAAAGTCGGCACCCATTGGACCTCGGCCTGCATCTTTCTGTCCAGAGGATGGAGTTCTGAACCCCTCCCAGCCCAGACTGCCTGCGGAGTGTAGGTTGAGGTCCTGCCGGAGAAGGGAGTGAGGAAGCCTTGAGGAAACCACACTGGCCCAGTGATTAGCCAAACCAACAGTGGCTGGTTTCTCAATTTAGTCCCCTTTGGCTTTTTAAAACTTTTTTCTTGTTAATTCTCTTTTGCAGATTCTGAATATATCTTAACAATGAAAGCTACAGTGGCTACCCACGCAAATTAGTAAGAAGAGACTGGTTCTGTTGTTGTTTTTTTGTTTGGTTTGTTTTTGATTTTTCATTTCAGCAAGCTGGAGTTTCTAGACGTACCTTGCCCAGAAGCAGGGCTGGGAATTACAGTTGGAATTACCTGGAACTTCCAAGGACTATGTTAATGGAGTGCATTCTTACCAACTGGCCTCTGTTAACACTTAAGATAGAAGTGGGGCTGGAGAAATAGCACAGCGGGGAGGGCGTTTGCCTTGCACGCGACCAACCCAGGTTTGATTCCCAGCATCCCATATGGTCCCCCAAGCAGCGCCAGGAGTAATCCCTGAGTGCGAAGCCAGGAGTAACCCCTGAGCATCACTGGGTGTGATCCAAAAAGAAAAAAAAAAGATAGAAATGAACCAGCCCACGAGCGACCGAATGATTTATGATTACAGATTTTGCATCACACACTCTTTTGGCCTCCAATCCCCATTTCTCATGGTGTTCCTGTCGCGGTGGGCACATGCCTTTGCCAGGATGTAGCCTGGCTGCTCTCGGCTCCTGGATGTCTCCCTCACACACTGGCATACGCCATGGCAGAGAAAACTTGTATACACAGTAGCAGCTGTCTTCAGTACCACTCCAGATGGGGCCCAGGTAACCCTCTGCTGTGAGTGCGTACCACAGACTGTTCCCGTGTGAAAATGGGAACGGGGAAACCCAGCCTCTGGCAACGACATTTATTCTCATGAGCTTGTAGCAACCTCATGATTTATAAATAGTTAAAGGAGGCAAAGACCTAGGAGATATTTAAGCCCTGTCACACATTCGATAAATAAATTAAAAGTAAACCCAGTGTTGCAGTTTCCCTCTGGGATTAGAACTTAATGTTTGATGCAGTGACAACTGATTTTCTTTGGTGCTGTGACTGATCATTATTTATTAAATTTTTGGTTTTGTTTTTTTTTTACTTTTCACCATTTCTTCTTCTATCACACTAGAGCTTGTTACAAAAAAATTTAAAACCTGACTTTCGTTTTTTGAATCTTATAGAATGGTTTTAGAAATTAGTAACAGAAACAAATCACAAAATGGATAGTGAAGATGGAAATTTTTTTAAGACAACAGGATTTTGTACTAAACTCCAAGTTTTTGCATAATGCTGCCCAAAGTACTCTCATAGTAAGGCCTTTATTGGGAACCTCTTCACCCCTGCTCACAGTACAGTCTACGCATTAAGAGCAGCAGGTGGGATTCTGTGGATCCCAACCAACAGGTGAAGTTGTGAATCAAGTTTCTTCCCTGGTACAACTCTTTTTTTACCTTGTCCAACCCTTATCTGTGAGTTGAAAGTCATTTTTGTTCTTAAGTTCTTTGAGATCTGTTTGGCCATTAAATTAATAGAAAATATTTCTGAATCCAGTAGTAAAAGAGATGAGTTAGCTCAGAGTGGAAGATAATGAAACAAATAAAACATTAAAATTTTATATGGCTTACCAAGTGAATGTTGGACGTGTTCATTTAAACATTGATTTGTATGAGTTTATAACCCTAAGAAAAACGTTAATTCAGCTGCCATGTGTTTCTCTTTGGTGCTTTTCTAATTCAGTCTTTCTGGATTAGTGATTTTGTGCTGTCTTATCCCAATTACTTCACGTAGAGTAAAATTCTAGGTGGCCTAAGTTGAACATTTTGCTAGGTCAAGTTTAAGCAGAATTCTTTCTTTTTTGCATCATCATAAATAGTGTTATACATAAACATTTTTACAAAATATATGAATGCATTTACTCACCTTATCTTGTTCATCTATATTGAGTATAATTCTAATTTTTCCCTTAAGAATAATCTATTATTATGATACTGTTGTCTCCTATGTCTATTAAAGCTAAATATCAATATTGAAAGACATGGGACTGAATATGCATGTGTAATATATGGTAACATAGAAAATGGAAGTTGAATTTTGGAGCCAAATGCTGTAGGAACTTGTGATCATAAAGTAGAATTCGTAAGAGCACAGTGGCATCTAGTTTCACCCCAGAGGATTGAGGTTTTATTATTCCTAGTTCATTTTAATATATTCTCCTCATTTCTGTGAGTTCCTATTACCCAGAACTGCCTGCATATACCGCATCAAGGATAGAATATGATGTGACTTTAAAATAAAAATGTTTACAGAGGCTATACATACAAGTAAGCTGTTAATGTAAATTGTTTGGCTTTTGCTATATCCACTCTGTGAAGTTATGCTGACAAAATGTGAGAAAATAATGTCTTCTTGTCCTCCTACATATTGTGCAAGTGTTAAAAAAAAAGTCTCCAGTTCTTGTTTTCAAAAAAATATAAGCTGTCCACTTCTAGTACCATATAATTACCACATCCCTTGTCTAATTTTTAAGAATCATTATAAATAAAAACAGTACATTAGGATAAGGTTTGCCTACACGCATACGTGTTTTTATTGAAAACTGGGCACTCCATCTCATGGTCTGACTTCCTATTCCTCTACGACGCTGCAGTGGAGACCACGCTCGTTACTCTCTCCGACTCAGTCTTAAGTGCGGTGTTTGGGAAAGAGGCCTGCGAATTTCCCTCTGCGATAATGATGCGGTGAACTCAGCAGTATCGTAGGACTGTGGATTAAAGAGATAACACTCTTGTCCCACCCTTGTTTTGTCCACACCGTGAACGAGAAGTCTTCTCCACAGCTGACTACAGGAGTTGCTGTTCTGTCTGCCTCGCTGGGCACTCTGTTCTCGTGGCCAGCTTGGTGGAATAATCACAGTGGTCTCCAGCTGTGGGTTGGCTGCCGCTGTCGGGCAAATAACAGGTGATAAGCTGACTCTTCCCTCCACCCTGTACATCCTAGATCCTTCTGAACGAAGTCCTGTAACCAGCGAAGTCAAAATAGATGTCTGTGCAGACACACTGGCTTAAGGATGTCAAGAAAAGTTTAGACATGTTTGCAAAAGGAGAAACATCATGTAAATACTGAAACTGGTTTCTGTGAATTTGATTGTAGTCTTGTGGGGAAGAAAAAGGTCTTCTTGGCTACAAAAATTAAATAAACATCATTTGCAATGACTAAGGACCTAAATGAAGAAGGATGAAATTGGAAAGATTCTGCCTTGCAAGTCATTAGGGACATCTGCCAGAGATCATTACAGCTACTTCTAACTGTGAACAGTCACCAGCTAAATACTCACTTGCCACAACCAAATAACCTCTCTTGAAGTAAATTCAGTACATCTGTATATATGTGTAAATAAACATAATGATCCTGAAACGTTATTATTGGTTATTAGGTAAATGTAAAGGTTATGTAAATTCTAAAGGACATTTCAATAACTAGACCTTGGTGTAATGGCGAGAATGGTGCATGCAACATGTCATTATTTATGAGTTTGGTGGGCTTTTTTGTAAGACTAGCGCTCATATCAATCATGATAATAAGACTGTTGACTATGAAATTTAAGCTAAGCAATAATGTGCCCAAAAGGCAGTTATACCAGCAAGTGCATCTATTAGGGGCACACCGTGATATAAATAC